TTTTGGCTACTCTATTTGTGCGTGCTCGCGCAATTGTAACTAGTTTATTCTCTAAATTAATTTCAATAGAATTGATCAACTAGTAATTTTAAAATTGAGTGGGAAAAAAAAATTAAAATTCAATTACTGTCTAAAGAATACTCAGGACTTATACTCAATTTTTTTATTTAAAATTTAAAATTTTCATTTTTGTGATAAAATATTATTAATTAAATATTAAATATTTTTTTTAATATTTGGGGGGCAAATTGATTTTTGGGCATTGATAGAGACCCCCTCCAATCACAACCCCCACAACCCCCACACACACGTGGCGGGTGATGTGATTGGAGGAGAAGGGGACAAAAAAAAGCAAAAGAAAAAGTAGCTAATCAAAAAAGAAAGGGGGTCAAAGGGGGTGAGAGGAAAGGGGGTCTTAAACATTTTTGTCGATTTTTAAGGTATAATTTTGGGGATAAAATGAAATTCTAAATGAATTTAGTGTTAGGTCAGTAAATTCCATTATTAGAGATGGAATGTGACGGTATGAGCCAAATTGATCAAAATTTTAAAAATTTAGGGGATAAATTGATATTATACAAAGTCTGAGGTCAAATTGAAAAACGCGTGAAAATTTGGAGGATAAAATGATATTAAACCCCAAACAAGGCCTTAATTTATTTATTCCCAAAAACTCAACTTCCAAATAAAACAACACCAACCAAGATTTAGCAAGTCAATAAAAATTGAAAAATGTAAAGTTATTATTGCTCAAACCAATTTGATTTAAATTATATATAATTATAAATGTTATATATTTAATATAGAATAATGCTTGGGACCCCCTTTTGGGGTCACCCCCTCACCCCCCTTTACCACGTGGCGGGTGGTGATTGGAGGAGCAGGAAAAAAAGAAAAAGAAAAAGAAAAAGAAAATGTAACCAATGAGAGAGAGAGGGGGTTAAAGGGGGTGGGGGAAAAGGGGGGATGAATCATTGTTGTATAATTTTATGTTAGATGATTGAAAAACATAAAGAAACATAATAAATGATTATTAGTAAATGAACATAAATACGTGATACTCCGGGAGTAAGTATCAAGTTTCCATTGAAATTTGTAGATTCCATTAGTAATGAAAGATTCAACAACATAGAGCAAAATTAATTCTTTGGGATCCTTCCTGTCTTCAAATGGAACGAACAGAGACGGAATCAAATTGGTTCCCAAAATGCCTTTTTTGGATATTTTTCAATATCCCAGCTATTCACAGAACGTGAGAATATATGATTTCGAATCTGATTCTTGAAATGTCTTTCTAGATATTCCTCAATATCCTGGCTATTCATGGAAGGTGAGAATCATATGCTTCCTGAGAATCAACTAGGCAAGACTATTGTCAAGAGCAAGCACCAGATGCATTTTAGCACTCAAATGGGGCAAATATGCAAGCATCGATCAATGAAGGCTCTTTTGACTGCAATAACTATAACAGAGCCAACCCATCAAATCAGAACCTGACGGTAAAGATTTATAAGATTATAAACTACAAGATATTACTGTAAACACTATCTTCTCATGATTTCTATATAAACAATGCAACATTCAAAGCTACCTTTGAAAATTTTCAGTGATGCATAAACAAGGAGTTTTAACTGGAGAGGTAACATACATTTTCATTCAACATAAAATGCTTTAGTTTATCTTGAAATGTCATCATACAGAAGAACAATGCCGCCGTTCCCTCAAGCATATTGATAACCAGAGGAATTGGGTCCACTTGGAGCATGCCTTGAACCTTTGAGAAGCAAAGCTCTGGAGGTCCAAACGTCCAACCTCATTTCCTACTCGTTTTTCTTGTCTTTCTTCGGCTGTGGCTTCTGGTATAAGATTATCTGACTCAAGATGGTGCCATTCGTTACAATACCAATTACAGAGCCCAAAACAACTTCCAACAAATCAAGGAATTGTGGAACTAATATAACGCTATGTTTATGTTTTTATGAAATTAAAGTGTTATATATATATATTTTTTTTTTGTTATTTAATTATGTGAATCTGTGGTCCTAAACCGATCCAATCCGTGTTTGAATGGATTGGTTCGGATTGGTTCCATGATTTAAACGGATTGGATTGGTTTCAATTTTTCAGGAACCGTAAATAACGGATTGGTTCTGGTTTTACCCCAATCCGGTCCAATCCAAACCATGCTCACCCCTACAGTTTAAGTTGGATTTACAGTCCATTTCCAGACAATAGAAATGGGCAACTTATAACTTATAGGGTGTGTTTGATTGGGAAGATAAAGGGGGGATTATTTACTGTGCAGATTGTAATCCAGAGGAAGCATCAAATCCGTCGTTTGTTTTTTTTTAGTCCGCCGGACTTGGAGTCCGGGCGGACTCCTTATCCCCCATATGGGGGACTATTGTGTCCTAGGGGGGTGTGGGACAATTTTGGGGGGGCAATCCACTGTTGGGATTAGGTGATAAAATGACCATCTTGACCCTCTATTATTTAATTATGTATTATATTTAGTAAAATTCAATAACATTTAAATGTCTCAATTTAAAAATAAAATAATTTTATTTAACTTTTTATTGATGTTTTATTTATTTAATTTTTTTAAAATAACTTTTTATACATATTTTGTTGATGTTTTATTTTAAAATTTTGTTTATATTTTATTTAATTTCATTATTTAAACTTTAATAGATGTTTTATTTAATTTCACTATTTAATTATTATTATTTTTTAAAATAAATTTATTTAAAATTTTAATTAAAAAATAAAATATATTTTTATTGATATCTAATTTATTTAATTTTTTAAAAATAAATTTATTTAATTATGCAAAAAATAAAATAAAATAAATTTTTATTTAATCTAGCTAAAAAGAATTAAACTATTAAAGATATGTTTAATATTGCTATTACTTAGTAAATAATTGAAAAGGGTAAAATAGTCATTTGAGCATTTATCATTTTCCATAATATTCTAAACAAACATAGAATTCAATAAAATAGTTCAATCCAGACATCTAATCTAATGACTAAACAAACATAAGATATAAATCCAGTCCAATCAAATAGTATGGGGACGATGTATCCCAGGACTAGCAGTCCGATGGATTTCAATACCCCCTTATCTAGTCCGTCCAAACAAACACACCCTAAAAATTATTACTCTTTAAAAGTCAACCTATTTACATGAAAACACCCTAAATTACTGAAAAGGATTATTTTGACCCCATGAACTATACAAATATACAAATAGACCTTCTAAATTATTGAGAAGTATCGTTTTGCCCCATAAACTATAAAAATATACAAATTGACCCCCAAAACTATTGAAGTGTTTCACTTTAACCCCTTTTATTAGTGGGTCCAATTGACACTTTTTTTTTATTTATAATTTAAGGGGTCTATTTATACGCTTTTATAATTTAGGAGTCAAATTAATACTTTTCAATAGTTTAAAGGGCCCATTTGTACACTTTTATAATTTAAGAAGTTAAATTGATATTTTTTAATAATTTAGGAGGTCTTTGTGTAAATAACCCACCCTTTTATATTATAAAGTAGGAACAACCGCTAAAAGAAAAAACAGAATTGGGCTATTTTGGCCAAACCTTATACCTTTTCTTGTTTGGCCAATTGTTTTTAAATTAGTTTTGAGAAAATTTTCTAAAAACAATTCACTATTTAGAAATTTTCAAAAAATTATTTTGATTTTAAACATTATTTTTTCACAGAAACAAAAATGATATGAAAACGATTAGTTTTCTCAAACTTTTTATTGTTTTTATTTTTTGAAAACACAAAAATGAAAAGGCAAGTAGAATTTGAATAATACATGTTAGCATATGCGGACAAGAGCTACTCTATCTGTTTAGGTGAGTTATTAATAGATACTTAATGAGATTTCAAAATGTTGCACAAGAGATTTCCATAATCTGCTCTTTAATGCATTTTTCAAAAAGAAAATTACAGGAATTTAATGCATACATATGGTCACAAAAAACAAAAAAAATTATGCCTAATCGATTTGGTTAAAATTCAAAAATAAAAAATAAAAAAGAGAGAAAGAAACAGAAGGACAAAAGTGTCACAAGCTCATAAAAAAAAGAAAAAAAGAAAAAAAAAAAAGAAGAGGCAAAAGTGTCACAAGCTCATACATTGCTGTCCTTATGCATCCATTGCAACATAGATTGATGCTCCAGTACTAAATTGTACAAATCACATGAAAACATCATAAATTGTCACTTTTACCATTTACATCAAACTCAATATTGAATTATTTATGTTTGGATGTCACATACACTTCTCTCTTTAAAGATAAAAAGTGATGCATATAAAGTATATATATTTGAAAGTTCTATCTTTACCTATCAGATTCTATGTTTTTTTTCTTAGAAAATTTGGAGACTTTGTAGGACCATTTTACAAGATGTCCAAAATATTCTCTCCCCCATTCTTTAGTTAATAATTACCAAATATATATAGAGTATTTTTTATATCAAAAAATAATTCCCAAATTCATCTATATCAAAATAATTGGCCAGAATTATTATACCGCGCTAGAAAATAAACTATTCAACTCTAATCACTTGCGTATCAAAATTCTCTCCCAATTTGGGAGTATGTATCCCATCGCAGCAGGAAAAAAAATCATGTTTTATAATGCACTTGCGAGCAACCCATATAATGATAACTTATGTGCATCATTTACCTAAGTTTTCCCAAAATGACCATTTTGGACCCTCAATAAATTCACTAATTACAATTCAATCCTCTAAACCAATGTTTAAATTTACTCTGTCTTCCACGTGGTTCAAATCAGTAAGTAGCTCTACATAAGTGGCAACTCATCAACCATCAATGCCATAGCCACATTTAAAAATGGAAGCATCATATCTCTAACTGGTCTATTTTAACTCTGGTTCTTTCGTATACACTTACATTGAAACCCAAAAAACACACATAACCATCAACATCAAAACATATCTCCCTTGTCACACAACAATGGGTTTGCTCTCTTTGTTACTTGCAATCTTTTTTATCTATGCATCAACATCCACATTTGCCTCCATTGTTGAAAAGGATACCTTGACTCCATTTCAGAGGTTCAAGGATGGCCAAACACTAGTTTCTGCCAACCGGAGATTTGTTTTGGGTTTCTTTAGTCCTTTTAGCCAAACAACCAAAAGGTACTTGGGTATATGGTACAAGGACATAACACCACTCACAGTGGTTTGGGTTGCCAATAGAACCAAACCACTGAAGAATTTTGATGCCGCACTTATGTTATACTTCAATGGCAGTCTTGCACTTCAAGATCAAGCATGTAACTTGGTTTTGCTCGTGATGCCTGGTAAGAAGGTTGGTAAACCAGAACCGTCACTTTTGGCTACTAAACAACCTTTAGTCGCTAAAACCCCTACATTCGGCGACTAAACTGCCTTTTAGTCACTAAAGCCCCTGTATTCGGCGACTAAACTCTTTTAGTCGGCAAAAGTGTTCAATTTTGGCGACTAATTCTATTTTAGTCGCCAATTCTACTACTTTCAGCGACGAAAAATGAAGTTTTAGTCGCCAAAAATGCTTTTTCTTGTAGTGTGGTTTTCGAAATTAACTTGGCCAAGCAATCTAGGTAGGGTCCTTGAGGTGGGGTCCTTGGGATGGGGTATGGTTTAGTGGTACCGATGCCTTAGAGTCTAACCAAATCTTCAAAACCATGTTTAATACCAACGGTGATGGCGTTTACTTCACATTTGATGTCCTAGACAAGTCCGTTCTAGTTATGTTAGTGGTGACCCAATTGGGAAAGGTTGAGTTTCTCACATGGAAGAACTATACCAGCCAATGGATTCCAACGGTTACCCTTTATAAGGACACTTGTGATGGGTATGGGTCATGTGAACCTTATGGAGTTTGTCACATTGATAAACCAACTTGTTAGTGCTTAAAAGGGTTCACAACCAATTCATTAGGAGATTGGAGTATGATGGATTACACTGATGGATGTAAGAGGAACTTTGAGCTAAAATGCGGTGATGGGCATGGATTTGTTAAGTATGAGGGTTTAAAGTTGCCAGATAATGCAATCGTGTGGCCAAACCTAGGCTCTAAAGAATGTGAGAAGAAGTGCTTAAATTAATGCAGTTGCATGGGTTACACATACATGAATGTTTCTGGAAATGGTAGCACGTGTTGTTTGGTTAAATGAATTGCTTGGCATGCGGAGTTTTCCTCAAGATGGAGATGATCTGTACATACGAATGGCGCGAAAAGAACTAGGTAAGTATGATTAATTAGTTCGATTATGTTTGTTGCTCTTTTTTAATTATTACCACTTTAAGCTCATGTAATAATTTACTAAATTGTCCACTAAGTGTCACACTTGAATATTAGCATCTATTATAGAACAATGGTACATTTCCTAAACGAATAGAACATAAACATTCATGAATAAAAATTGCATGTCTTCCTCTCATCTTGTTAGAATAAAGATCAATAGGAATGTTGTTTCTCTAGTTGTCTAGGATGTTTGCCAAGTATATGGACTACATACAAAATTAACTCTTTTCTTATGCATTTTTAACTGAAATCTTATGTATTATGGTTGATGATGTAAAGCTATTTTGTTTTTTGTATGATTGATCTAGAAAAATTCTTGATTTCTGTTAAACCGTTTCTAACGAACTCAACTGTACTCTTGCATTTAATGAAAAAATCTAAGGCAAATTTGAGTTCGCGTGCGGGGAAGTGTCTACATTTAATATTTGTTTACTTACAAATGTAAGAATGCTAAGATATAGAGCAAATTCGAACAATTGTTCATTGTGTTTGTTTGGCATTATGTACCATAACTACCATTCAAGTAATCATAAGTTACTTTAATGTCATTATATGCGACAAAGGATGGAATTAAAGAAGTTTCTCTCAAGTTATAACTAATTAGTATGTATTTCATCTTGTTCTTTTGACATATATTCATGCTTGTTCGGTTCGTACGCAACAAAAAACTTGTCAACCTTAATTTATTGCCATTATATGCAACAAATGATGAAATTAAGGAAATTTATCTAAAGTTATAATAAATTTTTAGTAGATATTTCATTTGATTCTTTTGTCATATTTTCTTAGTTGTCTGGTTCAGCCATAACAAAAATTGTGTCCACCATGCACACCTCTTACATCCTACAATATTTCACAGTCTAACTTGTCAAAAAACTATACAAGTGGCATTCTTTTTTTGCTCCATTTATGGTGAGAACAAGAGACCTCCAATTCCGTGCATAAGGTTGCAACACTTTCAAAATCCAAAATTAGCTATCTAAAAATTGACATGTCATTATGAGTTTTAAGATCCTTCCTTACTATTTTGGTTTTAATATAAGATATTGTTATTTCAGAGTCATTGATCACTATTTTCAAGAATTGGATATCTCCGATACCCAACTTACTTATATGTTTATATGTCTTTCGCTTGTTGTTTTGTTTTACAGAGCTTATTTGTTTATTTTTAAATCCGAAGAGCATGGACAAGCCTCACTTCTTTAGCTGACTTTTTGTCTTTATACATTATTTTAATTTTTATTTATTTATTTAGTAATGTATCTCAATTCATATCACATTTGATTACCAGACAATTAATATTAGGCAAATATTTTAGGTAAATGTAGAAGACACAATAATATCGACAAATGCTTTAATCTCACAAAGTTGGATTTGTGATTTGGAGCAACAAATCACTAGTCTCATCTTCAATTGTTTTGTATGCATTACCAGAGTTTGTATTTCAACCATTGTAGCTTTATATATTGAAAGCACTTAAACTTCTGAATACACTAATGTCAAAAGACTATGAAACAAGATGACTAACTTGTTGATTTTTTTTTTTCTTTTCAGAATTGATATCTTCGACTAAGATGGATAAATTTGAGATTTGGTTCAGTGATATCCTTTCATTAATTGCCATTGGGATGGCTTTGTTGGCTTTCATTGTTGTGTGCATTTTTTCCAAGATAAAGTGTGTGAAGAGGCAAGGTAAAACAGTTCATCTACAATATTACATTTTTTATTTATTTATGTGGCACCAATTGGTGTTGCTTAAGCCTTTCAACCCAAGCTAAATCTCCCAAGAGTTAGTTTCTTCAAGGAAAATGCACTTATCAGGTTGCTTCCAAGTTCTCCTCATTTATGCAATTCAGTTTTCCATTTATGAACTATAGCATGAAAGAAAACATCTATTGATATATTGAGCAATATTGAGTAATCACCAATTCACTGATATAAGAATTCAAAATTTAGGGTACCTTACTTGATAAAAGATTGAATACTATTCTTCATGAAGGAATTCATAAAAAATTTCTTTATAAAACTGACTATTATATTGACTCTTTCTTATTTTCTTGTTGATTTCCTCTTTGACAGTTAAACATGAAAGCAATTCATCAAGAGATTCCAATGGGACTCAAGAGGAAAACCCGGAAGTCAAACTTTTTGACATAGACCTTATTTCTACTGCTACAAATAACTTCGCTAGTGATAATAAGATTGGAGAAGGTGGATTTGGTCCTGTATTTAAGGTATTTTTATTTTTTATTTTTAATGTAGATATTTTGAAGCAAAAATAAAAAATAAAGAAAACAAGCCCATAATTATTCGCTATTGTTGATATTCTGCCTGATAATTTGTAGGGAGAATTACCTTCTGGACAACTCGTTGCAGTAAAGAGGCTCTCTAGGAATTCTCAACAAGGCCTTGAAGAGTTTGGAAATGAAGCTAGTTTGATTGCAAGACTTCAACACCGAAATCTTGTTAAACTCTTTGGAGGATGTGTTCATGAAGATGAAAGAATGCTTGTCTATGAGTATTTACCAAATGAAAGCTTGAATAAATTCATATTCGGTATGGCCATTTAACATTTATTATGTTTCTTTAATGGGTTTTGATGAGTTTCATTTATATTTGAAAAAAGAAAAAAAGAAAAATGGAAATACATTGAAAATTTGGATTCTATCATATCCAGATGAAGCAAGAAAAAGACTATTACCTTGGGCCAAGCGCTTCAACATTTTTATCGGTGTTGCCAAGGGTTTGGTTTATCTACATGATGATTCGAGGTTGAGAGTAGTCCATCGAGATCTCAAAGCAAGCAATATCTTATTGGACAGTGAGATGATGCCCAAAATATCAGATTTTGGTCTAGCAAAAATTTTAGAAGGAGAAAATATGTTAGAGGAACCATCCGTGAGGGTTAATGGAACACAGTAAGTACTCATGTCATGTATTGAAACAAATATTTCTTGATTACAAATTTCAATATTCTCGTATTGACAATACAGTGGTTACATGTCTCCAGAGTATGTCTTGCATGGCCAAATTTCAACAAAATTAGATGTATTTAGCTTTGGCATTTTGATATTGGAGACAATAAGTGGCATGAGGAATTGGGGATTTTTACACCCTGACCATGATTTGAACCTTTTGGGACATGTATGTTTACACAAAAAAAAAAAAAAAAAACAATAATAATAATAATTATAATTAATCTTATTTTATTTTCTTTATGATGATATTCAATTTTTATTTGTAAACTCATCAGAAAATTGTTGTCAAATGATCACAAATATATAAAATGAATCTAATGCCTAAATTCGATGGGAAAAAAAAATTAAATTAATTTTTAAAGAAAAAAGTGTAAACCGCAAACTGTCCTCAACCGCCCGCACATCTACAAACCCTATCCGCACAAACCACAAACCGCAAACCGCACTGCGGGCGGTTGCGGGTTGACTTTTTTCCAAACCGCATAGATGCGGGCGGGTCAAAACCGAACCACAAACCGCACAAAACCGATCCGTGAACACCCCTAATATGAAGAAATATTTGCTGGAAACATTATATGAAGTTTTATTGATATATATATAGAAATATCCTCTTCGATTTCGTTGTTATAATAGAATTTCTATTTCTTCTTAGCTTGTGGGTGTGCTGCTATGCAGGTGTGTGATGAGGAAGGTTGACCTAATATTTATTCCCTACTTCTAGTGTTAATATGCTTTTATATTGTCGCAAATATTTATTTATTTTTGCATCGAATATATTTGCAATGGAAAATTTGAGTTGCAAATGATAGTTTTTAAACTTTATTTTATTTTGACAATATATTGATTTGTTCACTAGATTCGACTTTTTCTAATTCTGACACTATTGGTTTGTTAATTAAGATAGACAATTCTTATAAAACTTTTCATAGAAGTTAATTCTGAATCTTATGAAACAAATAGCATTTTCTTGAACAGTCAAGATTGACAAAAACAATTCTTAAAAAACTTTTCATTTCATAGAAGGGAATTATTGTTATAATGAAGCAAATATTTTTTTTCCTATTCGTCCTGAAGACTAGACCTTTTCTAATACTGAATTAAATTATCCATTGTTGTGCCATTCCAAAGTGTTAAATTATGGGTCTGGCTTTGGTCCGGTCCCCCATCGGACTGGACCGTGCTGTTGGGCCCGTGGGGGCCTATCACGGGTCTCGTTTTAAAAATCTGAACCGTCAATGTGTAGAACTCGTCGAGTATTATGTACTTATAAAAAATCACGTTGATCGGATATCGATAGCTATGCGATCAAATCAGTTTTGTATAAAAAAAATAGACGATGAATAAATTAACGGTTGATAAAAAACTGTTTTGATCACATAGCTATCGATATCCGATCAACGTGATTTTTCACAGGCATATAGTACTCAACAAGTTCTACATATTGAACGGTTCAGATTTTTAAAACTAGACCCGTGGTGAGCCTCTACAGACCCAACAGTACGGTCCAGTATCGGACTGGACCAAAGCCAGGCCCTTAAACTATATACTATATATTATATATGCTGTAGATATTCTTTATATATATCGTGTATCCTTACCTTATATAAAATAGGCTTCTCTCTTTTAGGAATAGTCTGATTCACTTCCTTGTATAGCTTCTCTAGGTTGCACTACATATATTGGTAGTCTTGTATTGATTCTGTACACAGTGAAATATACAAAACATTTCTCTCTCTCTCTCTCTCTCTCTCTCTCTCTCCTCTTATGTTGCCATAAGTTTATTTTGCCTTCATGGTATCAGAGCCATGTCTCTGTCTGTTTGATAAATCATTCCACTATTTCACCATTGGAAGAAGACTGTAAGTGTTTTTTTTTCCACATCAATTGGTTCTTTCAGTCTGTTCGTCTTTCCACCAGGAGTGCAACGAAGCCAACCATATTCCACAACAATAATGATTCATCCCTCCTTTTCCCCCCACCCCCTTTGACTCCCTCTCTCTCTTATTGGTTAAATTTTCTTTTTCTTTTTCTTTTTTTTCCTGCTCCTCCAATCACCACCCGCCACGTGGCAAAAGGGGGTGAGGGGGTGACCCCCAAAAGGGGGTCCCAAGCATTATTCATTCCACAATCATCATTCACGCGCCCACATACGCCACTAGAAGCTCCAAGACTAGTCTTTTCCGTTCTCCCACTCTTTGCACGCGAGCCATGCATAGACGTCTCTCTGTTCTAGCATCGCTTCCTCACCCAACTTCCATAAGCCGTGCTGCCATCCACGGCTTCCGCCTCAGCCACTTTCCTTGGACTTCCGCATCGCCTTAGCCTACTTTCCCTCTCTCGGCTTGCCCAGTCGCGTGCTTTCTAAGCCGCCATCTGCCACTTTGTTCTTTATTTTCTTATTTTGCATTTTTTTTTTACAATTCGCTTATGTTTCTATTTTTTTTTCCCTAAAAAAAAGTATACTTGCTATTATCTTCCATCTTGTCCTTCATGGATCGTTCTGAGACTTCTCAACCAATTTCTATTGTCTTTAACGCGTCCGGATCCCCTGGAGTTTAAACCCTAAAGTGATCCATCTAACGGTTGAAATTAAACCTCACCAAAACGACGTCATTTTGGTGAGTAATTTGAAAAAAAAAAAAAAAATTCAGATCTATTTCTTCGTTTCTGTGACTGTGAAGCAGCGCGTTAGAGAGACAGAAAGAAAAAATATTTCTTCGCCAAAAATCGTGTTCTCCCTCTTTCTCGATCGAACCATCCGATTTCGCACCGAAATCGACTAATTCTATAGATACATATTCTGATATATATATATATATATATATATATTTATGTACACAAAAAAATTCCCGTAGCTGTTGCATGATTTTGTCCCCCGAAGTTATTTTTTCAAGCTTAAGTGTGAAAAATTGCATTTTTGGACTTAATTTTCGAACCGGCAATCCTGTGCTAGTTCTGTAAGTTTTCACAACTCACATTGGTCCATCCCAAGGTGTTTGAGGTGTTTCCCAGGCTGTCTCCTCTGCTTCATAATCACAGGAACGAAGAAATGGATCTGATTTTTTTATTTTATTTTATTTTTTTTTTTCAAATTACTCACCAAAACGACGTCGTTTTGGTGAGATTTAGTTTCAGCCGTTGGATGGATCATTTTAGGAGATCACTTCAGGGTTTAAACTCTAGAGGATCCTGACGCGTCTTTAATGGCTCTAATTATGTTCTGTGGGCCCAGAGTATGTCTACCTTTATCAAGGAAAGAAAACTTTGGCATCTTATTATTGGTGACACTGTCAAACCTGTTCACAAAGCCACTGAAACTGCTGCTAAGTGTGAGGAACGTTTTGATTATTGGGACAACAAAAATCGTCAAATCATTACATGGTTTCACTATACTTCTGCTGTCTCTATCCATCTTTAATTTGGTCGCTTCAACATGTCTAAGGAAATCTGGGATTTTCTAAAGACCCGTTACAGCACCACTGATTTAGCTCACCAATATCAACTCCTTAGCCAACTTCATCACATGCATCAGGAGTTTAGCCAATCAATCAATGCCTTTCCCTCTTAGATGTATAGTTTTTGGGATCAATTATCTCTTTTCGAACCTGACTGGAAGTGTTTGGATGATACTAAGCTTTTTACTGCCTACCGTGACGTCTAGCGTCTGATTCAATTTTTGATGGCCCTTAGAGGAGATTTTGAGCCTATTCGTGCCTCTCTCCTTGACGCAACCCTCTTCCTATCTTAGAGGGGGCTATTTTTTTGAAGAAACTAACCTTGGATCTCTCAACACTACAACACAAAAAAGTCTTTGGTAACAGATTGATTTTGTCTTCAAACATCAAATTTTTGACACTAAAGTGATCTGCGATGAAAAAAATTTGTCACCACGTTCGTGGCCTATACGTCATCACTGAAAGTACCTGGTAACGAAAAACAATTTCGTCGCCTATTTTTGATTTTTGACGATGAAATATTTTGTCGCCGAATGTTGAATTTTTCGTCCTCTATAACATCAATTTCATCACCAAAACTAAATAATATTTTATTTTAATTGTTTTTCGCAACGAAATATTTCGTCACCAAATAGATTTTAGTGACGAAAGTTTTCCTAACCAATGATAGGATTAAGGTGACAAAAAGATTCGTCACTAAAATGAGCAGAAAAGAAAATTCTTGAATGACAAAAAACATTTTGTCACCAAATATTTCAATTTAGTGATGAAATATTCAGCAAATGTGACGAAATTATTTGTTTGGTATTATATCATTAGTGACAAAATTATTTGTCATGTTTTTTGAAAACTAATAGCTATATTTTTTATTTCGTCACTAATAAAAATTAAAAAATTTGAAAACGGGAGTACTATTTTCTTTTGAATTTTTTTCTTTTCAGTAACAATTCCTTGCGCATTTCAATAACTTGTTCAATAAAATATCTATTACAAATCAACACAAAAATCTGTTCATTTTCATAAACATCACAATCGAATTTCAGCACTATCCACAAAAAAACAATATGAACTGCATGCGGATTATAAACATGTCTCCTAATATCCACAAACAACGTCTACTAATATCCACAAAAATATCATATCAACCGCATGCGGATTACCAAACGCATCTCTTAATATCCAACAATAAAACATGTATACTAATATCAACAAAAATAAAATATCAAGGGCGGATTACCCAACATGCCCTATAATACCAACAAAAATATAAAATTTATAACGCAACCAAAATATATGTAAGGTAATATGAATAAAAACACAAAATGAGCTACCATCTGCCCTCCAAATTACCAAACATGTCCATATCAAATCTTAAATCTACAAAAAAAATGAAACACAAAAAAGAAAAAAAAATGGAAGTTAGACAATTATTATTTTATCCATAAAATAAACAATTTAACATGCATTTTTTGAGTTAGTTTTCAAATCGGGAGTCCGATGCAAGTTCTGTAAGTTTCCACAACTTACATTGGTTTTTCCCGATGAGTTTGAGGTGTTCCCCAGGCCGTCCTATGATTGTTGCATGATTTTGGCACCCGAAGGTCTATTTTCAAGCTTATGTGTAAAAAAGTACAATTTTGGACTTATTTTTTAAACCGGGAGTCCCGTGCTAGTTCCGTAAGTTTCCAAAACTCACATTGGTCCCTCCCAAGGTGTTTGAGGTGTTTCCCAGGCTGTCTCGTGGCTGTTGCATGGTTTTGGCCTCTGATAGCCTATTTTTAAGCTTAAGTGTGAAAAAGTGTATTTTTGGATTTAGTTTTCAAACCGGGATTCCTGTGCTAGTTCCGTAAGTTTTAACAACTCACATTGGTCTCTCCCGAGATGTTTGAGGTGTTTCCCGGGCCGTCTCGTGGCTGTTGCACGATTTTAGCCTCCGATGGCCTCTTTTCAAGCTTAAGTGTGAAAAAGTGCATTTTTCGACTTAGTTTTCAAACCGGGAGTCCCGTGCTAGTTTCGTAAGTTTTCACAACTCACATTGGTCCCTCCCGAGGTGTTTGACGTGTTCCCTTAGGCCGTCTCATGGCTGTTGCACGATTTTGGCTCCCGATGGCCTAGTTTGAAGGTTAAGTGCGAAAAAGTGCAATGTTCGACTTAGTTTTTAAACCGGGAGTCCCGTGCTAATTTCGTAAGTTTACATAACTCACATTGGTCCCTCCCAAGGTGTTTGACGTGTTCCCAGGC